GAAATTCAAGAAACCTGCAGTTTGATAATCGGGTTGTTCCGCAATAAGTTAAATGATAATACAGATTAGGAAAATTTACAAATATCAGTCAAAAACACTTCTAAATACAGTAAAATAAAAATGAATTTAGCATTTATTAAAGCAAATTCCACTACGTGTCCTAATTCCCCACCCTTAAAACCCTATAACCATCGTTTTCGTTGGGAAACGTGCAGGGAGAAAGGATTAATGAGTGGGCCCACACAAGCTACTGTTGCCGGATTTTCCTTCATACGTTTCTTAAATTTATGTAGAGAGAAGAGTGCGAAGTATACTGTGTGAATAGTTTTAAGTGGCATAAAGTATCTGCTCAATAAAGTAACATAAGTTTGTCAATATACATTTGGATAGATTCTTACATTCTCAAATACTAATTTTCAATTCAGAACTTTTGGATGAAACAGCGCTAATCCAGTTGGACAACGAAACGCAAGCGTAGAAATTACATATTTTGAAAGTTTGCAGTTTGAACGGAAGGAATATTTTAATTCTAAAACTTTTAGGACTGGCGCTTTTAAAACGCTTGCTTGTACTAACACGCAACTAAGAATGTGTAGATTGCTAACGTCCGCTTATAAAACACGTAATTTTGCCGATATCGGTTGGAATATTTTGAGTGCCAGTAGGGAGATACATGGGTTAACGCTTTCGGATACGCAGTTTGTAAATCTTACTAACATGGGAAAACTTGCAAGAAAATTTAAAAAAACTGTTTGTCGCAGAAAAACACAAAAGCTACGTAATTAGCGAATCAACTATGTATAAAACTACTGAGGTTACTACAATACTTTCAAACAATGCGACAAAAATCTAGATGTTTGCCAACAACTTTTGTGGAATCCAAATTACCGCATTTCAGCTTCGATATATTCTTGAGTAAGCTTCCCACATGTGCATCTGCCGATTTTCAATCGAAAGCCTGTCGATTATCCTAAGCTTCTGTTACATTTTTCCGGGAGTTGAGTAACACTTCCTACTTAAAAACATAATGAAAAGTTTATCGGTACAAAATTTTACATCTCACCGCTGTCTACACTCATCGCAGGTGATGTGATTGGTCCATCGCTTAGCAAGAATTTTGAGTACGCCGATACTGAGAACACCTTGCGTCTATCCTACGGTGCTGCGGAAAATGTCTTCTTTGAACTGGGTTACAACCTCCAGCTGATGCTCTACCTCAGAGGCGCCGGATATCTGCCTCCAGCTGTGCAGACCAAGGGCGTTAACTACTGTGCCATAGTCCTTCAGCGCGGCTTCACCTACTTCAACGACAAGGCGGGGGCATTTGCCAACTTCCGCGATGAGTTAAATGGGTAAGTTTTAGTCGTTTTTTGT